GAGAGAGAGAGAGAGAGAGAGAGTGTGAAGAAACGCTGGACAAGAGTGTTGTGTACGAAGGGAGAATGCAGAGAACGAGCGTGTGTGCGTGTGGGTCTGCGAGAAAGAGAAGCGCGGAAGAAAAGGACGTAGGCGACGCTGCTCCGTCGGTTTTTCCGATCGATCGGTATCGGGAGGAGGGGGAGTACTGGGTGGAACGAAGGTTTGCTCCGAGTATGTACGAGGCATAACGAGCGCGCGTCTGCGAGAACGCGTTGTTGCAGGCGATTCGTTGGGCGCGAGAGAGACGTTCGTCGTTGTTTTCGCTCGGTCTTCTTGCTCCTCTTTCCGAGCATCCCCTCCGTAAGGGGAACGCGTATTCGTTCGCAACGAACGTTCTTCCCCGCGATCGAGCTTAAATTAGAGAACTTTTAATCGAGCCTACGCGCTCCAGAGCAACCCGATTTCCACCGTCGCTGGAAACCTGGTTCGCCCTGCCTTCCGTTCGCGCGCCACTTATCGAAATTCTCCTTTTTTTCTCTTCCCTCTCCAAATCTCTAATTCACCCCCTACCCTCGCCGCAACACTTTTCTTCGATCGAAACTCACGCGAGACGGCGAAACGACTATGACTGTCACGACTACGACGACTCGGTGGAAACGAGCAATCGCCGATAAACTGCCCGGTTCCCACTCGTACTACGCGTTTCTCCATTACTGCCACCGTTTAAAAAGAAGAAGGGGAGGTGGTCGCGCAGGGTAGCGCGAACGGAACGCGGCACGTAGAGACGAAAACAGCCAGCAGAGTGAAAGAGTGGGAGAGAAAGGAAGAGAGAGAGAAACCAACTCAATTTTCTACGTAATTCCAAAAGCGTCCGACGTTACAGGGTGTCGCAAATTAGAAGAGCTCGAGCATTCCCTTTTCACAGACCGAATTTCGATTTTGCCGTGATTACGCGTTTAATCGTCGAACGAGAACATTGTGTATTTTTATATGCGACTCGGAATGCGTGCTTTTGTCTCATCGTTTTCGCGCGCTCGTACGCCACACCGATATTTTCTAACGCTAACTTTGTAAGATCTTTTCCAGAGGTAAACGCAGACAGGGCAAACACGAACGAGTTAGAAAGCGGGAGTAAGAGAGAAAAGGAAAAGCAAACACGGGAAGGGGGTAAAACGGAGTATCGTCGACGAACGCGTCGTCGATCGTAAGGCCCACCCTCGCATCGGTGATCGATCTTCGAGTACCACGACGAAAAGCGTATTCGCGGTCATACTCTTTTAGGTAGTTAGTTCCTTAGGTAAAATTCGTTGTTTCTTTTTCACGCGAATGCCCGAGCGATAACAACTAGAAATCTCTCTCTCTATACGTATACATACGTACATATTGTATACGCTATTCCGTATTTCCGGCAATTTCGCTGTGGTGGACGAAGAAAAAGAAAAAAAAAAACGGCAATAACTGGCGAAGCTAAAGTTTTCACGACGA